ACAGATAACGCAAAAAAAAAAGACACTGATAACCCCCTTACCCCACAGCTTCCAAGTTCCCGAAGCACAAGGTCCATTGCTAACTGCGAGCTTCTGGGATGATAACTCTGGGATGCATGGGGTCGGGGCTGGCATGTCTGGATACTCACAGAGTGCCGCTGGTGCGGCTCACGCAAATGCAGGCACGATGCAGGTGTACCGCAGCCTGGGTCAGGTCACCCTGACGCGGCAGCAGCGCTCCAATTGCAGCATTGAAATCCACAACGGCCTCACTGAGGGGATCTCGATCACGCTTGAGTTAAGCTTCACATTTTCAGATATTTCCCCGAAACCGGTTTTTCAGACTTCCAGCACGCCTTGGGCGAGCAAGGTAATAACGAACTTGTGGCTTTGCTACTGTGTTTTCTTCCTGCAGCTCTGCTACTCGTACGTCTGATGAACTTTCTCAGGAGGTCGTGCGACCCAATCCTTCTCCCCTCCGTACATCCCACACATCTCTTAACCCCGAAAGCTAAGATCTCTAAACCTCAAGCCTTAATTACTCCCTAAATCCGCTTCACAACAATGCGCCTCCATACAGCTTTTGGCCTGCGCTTCCTTCAGGGCACATCGGAGCAGCCGAAGCGCGCGATCGACCTCAAGGCAAAACACGGAGAGCCTGTTGAAACGAAGAGAACAAAAAGATCCCGCAACGTCCGAAGTCCCGGAACCCAACACCCCGAAAATCCATAAAGGCCTAAGTCCCGAAAAGCGTCCACATCCTTGCGCCCCTGAAGACTAAAAAGCCACCAACTCCAGAAAACATGGCTGCCTGGCCATGGTCCGCCAACATGTGGCAAACTTGAAGGATACCGCAGCGGGGCCTGTGCAAGGATGCATGTGCTTAGGGGTCTTAAGGTTCCGGGTGTTTCGAGGGGTTTGTGAAGCTCATAAGGTACAGACTTTTGGGGCTTGCCGTTTCGCTCTTTCGGGTTGTAGGTCTCCGTTGAGGTCTAGGGTCAGCTTCAGGGTTTCGGGCTTAGTATAGCTCAGCTGAGTGCGCAGTCGGAGACTTCCATTATGTTTTGCTTGATAGTGATTTCAACTCTTCAGTTTGCCCCCTGGTTTTCGCCCCGCCAGCCTCGTACAAAGATTTTTCTCAATGCACTGCACGGACACCGATGCTTCATCCTCTGCTCGGGCCAGAAACCTCCGTGCATGTCGAGACGGCTTCACTTTTGCATGCAAGTCTTGGTGCTTCATCTCGTCTTGCAGGGAGGGCTCTGGCATGGTTTTGCTGTTACCTGCTGATTCGAGTCGGAAATGCATTGTTCCAACTAGGTCTGCAAGTGCGAAGAGTCTTCCCCTGATCAATTTGCAGGCAAAGCTGCCAGAAGCGAAGGTTCCGGCGCAGACGCTCGTTGAGGTTATGCAGGCCAATCCCTTGCTCCACACAGCGCATGATGTTGGCCTGCCGGTCTCAAGACATGCTGGGCTTTCAGACTCCACGCACCTGCGAGTGGTGCCTTGTCTGCCTCCACGGATGCTTGCGCACGCAGCACGCACACTCCTTATTACGTCTTCCATCCTAGACTGCGGTCGTCAAGAGGAGCAACAGCAAGACAAGGTTCCTCTGGTTTTGCTATGCTCTCTTGTGGAGCTGAGGCACTGGAGAGGATGGCACGCAGTTCCTGCAAGTGACTTGGGATCAGGGCGTCATGGGCATCAAAGGCCCTTGTGCATGGATCAGTCTGTAGATGAACATGAGCATGTGTGTGTATATGTATCCGCTCCCATCTCCTGCAGGGCATCACAGCGGACCATCAACGCTTCGGTAAAGCCTTTAGCTTCCCGCGGCGGCATGAGAACTTCGAGTCGGCAGTCCTTCAAGAACACCAATTGGATTGTTGGGCTTTGCATTTGGGAAGTAGCACTGAGAGACTGAGAGTGAGGCGAACACGGCGAGGCGAAAAATGCAGGCCGTCAGTCAAACTGGACTTCTGGAATTATTGTGACTCGAATGTAGCAGCTGACGCAGAGTTGTGGCACGCGCATTGCCTCGATGTTCAGTGCGACGGACATCTCATACAAGCACCACGCCCTGCTGACGTACCTGCAAAGTGAGTGTGTGTGTGCTTTACAGTGCAGTGGCCCTCGTCGTCGTCGTCGTCGCTGTTGTTGGTGGTGTTGTTGTTTTCGCTGTTGCTGCTGCTGTTGTTCCTGGTCCTGTTCATGTTGTTTTTGCAGTGGTCGTTGCACTTGCGGTTGTCCATGTCAACAAACGCAAGCTCGCTCCACCGCACAGGCGATCACCAGCGTTCGACAGGAGTCCGATGCTGTAAGCAGTGGCTCAAAAATATCAAAATTGCAAGACGCTAGGCCGTCCAGCCACATGTAAACAACAGCTTGCTTGCGGTATTTCATCAGCTTGATGTGCAGTAAGAAGCCTCCTGGCTACAAGTACTGAATGAAACGCTTGCTTGCGCAATCCGACAGCCAGATCGCTTATCTTGTCCCAAATCTTGTTCTGTATTCCGTACTGCTGCGCAAGCCAACAGCCCACCCCTCACTTGTTAGCAAAAGGCCTACGGATGGTTTTGTTCGTTCTTCTCAGGCAGCTTGACCGTGCATGCTAATGACGGTAGCTACGGCTAAGTTGAGTTCCTGAAAAAAGCCCCAGATTACTAACGAAACCTTATGCCACCCTCTGAACCTCCCCCCCCCCCCCTCTNNCCCCCCCCCCCCCCCCCTCGCGCCTGGGCTCATGCCATGGCCCCATGAGGGCCAGGACGTGGCGGATTCCCTTCACTCGACTGCCGAACTCTTCGGCAAACTTGTGGAAGGGGACCACCTTTACGGTTCAGGCTGTTTACGGAATAGTGCTCAGGGTTGGGGTTTCAGGGCCGAGTGCTTCGGGAAGGAAGGAAGGCTGAAGCGCATGACGACAGGCTGCAGTACTTTCAGTAGGCATGCCTTGTCATGTTGCATACTAATAATATCATCAGCATCGTCGTCACCTGCACCATGTTGGTACTTCCCCAGAACTCCCTACAAGTACAACGTGCTCCCTCTGCCGCAAAGCTCTGCTGAGCCCCCTGTTCTTGCTGCTGATGGTGAAGGGTGGTGGTGATGATAGCGTGATGGCGGTGATGATGACGAGGTCTTGCACTCTCATGTCCAGTTCCTTTGTTGAATCCCCGGGCCGCCTCGTTCTTCGCTCGAGCCTCCCGAACTCGATGTTGGTTGACGCAGAAAGCACATATCCAGACGTAGGTTCGATTTGGCTTGAGCATTCGGCTGGTGCAGAATTCCGCCAAAGAGTCGACAATGTCAGCTATCGTATAGTCCCAGGTGTAGCTCAGCATCTGCGTCGCTGAACCTTAGCTTGCGTAGCAGTCTCCTCAATGCCGCCGGAGTAGAGCATGCAAAACACCACAACAACATCTGCAGATACAACAACGAGGAATGTTATGGAGACAAGGCGGTGCTGTCTTCGCGGATGTGCTTGCTTTGGAACACAGGCCACATCTCCATATCCCACCTCACGTACATTGCGGCTTCTAACGCCCACCTGCAACCTGACATGTGGACACCTGTTGATTCAGTTTGCCCTTGCATGCCGCTGATACTTTTCCACGGCCACTCCGGCGCCACCGCCGACATCACAAGCAGCAGCAATGATGACTGTGCCGACCCTGACATACCCCGACCCGCAGAAGAAGCGGCCCGCCGCAATATCAACATTGGTAACCCCATCAGACTCCAAATCGCCATCGTCGTCATCAGCAACACAAGGAGCGTCACTATAACATCGTCATCACAATCATAACCATCATGATCATCATGTCCTTGATCATGGCAATGAAGTCACAATCGTCACTGACTTCGGTACCACTCCAACCACCATCTCCATCATCATCAGTATAGTCATAGTCACCAGCATCACTAGCACCACCCACACACCATCGTCATAGTCATAGTCATGGTTATAGTCATAGTCATCGTCATCATCACCATCATCATCATCACCATCTTCTTCTTCCTTCCCCATCGTCACCGCATCCAACCTGATTTGCAGCAAGAATCTGCCGGTGACGTGTGTGACGACACAATAAAGACTATGACGACCACCAACACCACCACCCTCCTCCTCCTCCCCCTCATCCCCGCCAAAAGAAAGACTATGGGTCCGGCGGCCAAAAACACGCCCAAAAACCGACGTAGTCTATGCCCGTGATGGTGTCGACATATGCACTTCCAAGTCGTCCGTCCACCGGGCAAGATAGGCCACACCCTTTTGCACGGATGATCAGTTCCTCGATCTCCCTGCAGGGGGTGCGCGCAACACACGCGACGAGACAAATGCAAGAGTGCTTCATTACAGATGAGACGGGTTGAATTGATGCAGTGACTGGAGCGAAGTTTACAGAAATGACAGGAACGGCTGCACGCCCTCAGCGCTCCTGACCGTGCCATGCCGGTCGAAGCCTGCATCTTCCATCTGCTCAAGCAAGCCTGTCTTCAACCAGTGCCTCAATCTGCTTCGCTTTGGAACAGAGGAATTAGAATTCTCTCGGGCTTGCTAGGGCCTGCCTTCGAGACTGTGACGCAGAAGATGTGGTATCTGTCTTTAACGGTTCATCGCAGCTTACCTTATCTTTCATTGTATTCCCTGTTGTGTTTCATCTCATGTTTTCTGATAATATCTAAAACCATCGTGTTCGACCCTCTACTGTATTATACATCCTTTTATCATCTTGCTCTTTGCTTTGACATGTTATCCTATTTCATATGGTATGATACAAACTCTATGAAACTCAACCTAGATCTCATTATATCGTGCCATACCATACCATATCACATCGTACTACATCGTGCTGTATGGCGTGACTTTATGTTTTTATGACATGCAATGTAATCTCATACCGGATGACATTCAGTCTAGCGCATCATGCTGTATCTATATCGCAGCAAAATGCTTGTTTGTCTGTGTGCAAATGAGACCTTGTAACACCCCATAGCCGCTATGTGCCATAGCCATCACCTCATGACGCTCTCTGTACCATAGCATAACATATCATGTCACACTACATTACATTGTGTTCTGTTCTACTACCTTCTACTAGATCACATCATATCAGAGATCATACCTTTATACTCTACGAGATAAGCTTGCTCTCGTAGTGTACCATTCGTCCCTTTTTCGGGGCCCCGAGGCCGGTGCACGCTCGGCGCGCGCAGCGGATCCGCCGGGTCCAGCGGTGACCTCTTCGTGGGCGGCGCTATCTCTCTATGTCTCTATGTGGTTGGGTTCTCTAAATTAGGATCCCTTTTTAGGGTCCTTACATCAAGTTGGAGAACTACCCATATACCTCTCTGCTGTTTTTCTCGTCCGCAGGAGAGTCGCCAAGTCTCGAATGCCAAGCTGGGTGAGGTAGGCGGAGGCAAAAGGCAACTTGTGAAGATCTTGAGGGGTTGAAGGATTAGGGGTTTAGGGTTCTCCTCTTCGGAAAGTTGACCAAACCTTCAGTGGGATGACTTTTGGACAGGCAAGTGCTGGTGACCACGCGCCTGCTGCCATTGGGTTCTGCAGCGCCCGGGCACACGCAGGTGCAGCGACGCGGTAACATCAGCTTCGAACAAACTTTGGAGAGTGTGAATGTGCAGCTGTGCGTCTGTGCAATCACTCTGTCAGGCTGAAGGTCAAGGTTTCGATGCTAAAGACTATGTAAGGCTTGCTGCGAAGCTTTGCATCTTGTCTGCGCAGGTTCAACACAGATGTCTGTAATTCTGGCTAGGCGGCTGTGATTCGCATGACGCAAAAAGTGGTGCCAAGCATGCACCTAATATCTGCGTGCTTCATGTGGCGGATCCGCCAATCCACACCTCATCCAAGAGCCTGCTATTGGCAGCCGGTCTCGGCTGCGGTCTGGGCGGTGCCTCCAGGCTTCACAAAAGCGGCTCTGAAGATACTTCCGCTATCAATGCTAGCCAAAGTTGTGCAAAGAGGCTCTTATGCCTGCTGGCATCTACTGGCGCTTCCCAGCATGCTTGCACGCTTCTCCTTGCATGGGTGTAGATGAGGCCTGCATGGCGAAGGCTTCACCGGAACCGCCCGGACCTGCAGCAAACAGGCCTGCTCCTACCACATAGCCCAGAAGTGTGTAGGCCTCCTTGCCTCTGAACAGAGCCTCTTTGACTTGCAGCCCGACCAAACATGAGACGACCTAAGGTGGCTGGCGTTGAGGTGGCGGTGGCCGAGGCGGTTGGGTCACCTGGACCTGCAGGCCGACTTGAGACAGGTCTCTGCTGATCACGACACGATGGATACATCGTTCGGAGAGGGGCAACTTTCAAAGGTGCAAACACAGGCCGAGGGGAAGATGATCCTGGCAAGTGCTGCCTGTTGCTGTGGAGCAGTGCAAGGACTACAATGGCCCTGAGCAGCAGGCGGTTCCACCGGCCGCTTCCTCGGCAGCACCTCTCATCGCATCGGATCTTCACCGAGTGCCACTCCGTTTTCTGTGACAGAGAAACATCCCGTGCCTAAACTTAAGGTCTGAGTCACGAGCTGCCCGCCCACTCGGGATCGTTGGAGTTGGCGTGAACGTCCCTGGCGGGGAGGAAGCGCTGAGCTTTGCAAGCTTCTGAGGTCATCATCGGACATCTCGCCTCTCACCCTCCGGTGCGGGTGGAGCCACCGGCGGAGGCAATGCTCCTTCCCAGCCGCCTGCGAAGCCGAAGCAGAACATCTGTGCGCGTTTGTGGAGGGAAGCTTTGGTGCTGCTAGGGCTGCAGTAACTAAGATGGAAGGACCGCGACTAGACTGACTAGACATAGCCCATGCAGGTAGATGCTTGAGCGAGCCACGGGTACACCCTTACACATTCATCTTTTCTGACATGTGCTTCGCATCAGCTTGCAAAATCGATCGGATCAGTGGAGCGATCGCCCAGCAAACTGCAGGGCATAAACCAGGATGTCTGTTGTGTGTGTATGTATGTATGTATGTATGTATGTATGTATGTATGTATGTATGTGTGTGTGTGTGTGTCTGTGTGTGTGTGTGTTATCGTGATTTAGTGCCCGTCGTATGCCACGAAACCTGCACTCGAGCAACTTCTCTTTGCACAGCCTGGCACGGGCGCCGGTGAAGCCAGAACCTCCTCGGGGGCCTGTCAGCGCGATGCGCAAACATCTCTCAGGGGCAGGTTATCACATTCCAGTGGCGGCCTCCGTCTCAGGCGCCCTCGGCGGAACGGAAGTCAGCTGAAGTTGTTGCAACAACGCAATGTTGCATTCCACTTTTTTGCGGAGCACAGCATACTGTCGCTTGGCTCTCCAAGGCCGGATGCTAAGACTGCCACCCCGCGTCGGTAGCGGAGCCAGGGAATACCTAAAGCCAAGGAGGCGAGGGGATCAGGGTTTTTTGGGGGCCTTTTTCGGTCTATCTAGCGGCTTCTCCATGCTCCAGAGAGACCTCTAAGCTCTCTTGCAAGGCCCGGGCCCCAGCTGCCGAGTCCGGGTCCGGACATGCGCTTGGCTCTTCCTCCAAGGATTCGGCCAGTGATTGCCTCGAAAGACTGGGCCGGGATGAATACGCCCCCCCATTCGTCCCATGAGATTCTGAATAAGCCAAAGAGGTGCCAGCTGCAAGCTGCATGAGTTCTTGCCTGCAACCAAATGAAGTTTGGAACCAAGGTAGTCTGTGACACGGAGAGACCCTTCCAGACTTTCGCAGTCCAGCCCACTATCACACGCTGAACGAGTTCTGGGTTCCGAGCTGCATCGCCAAGGCGAGTTGTTCATCCTGGAGTCTGGCATGTGAATCCCTCAAGGTCTCTCAACCCTAAATGGACAGAGCAAGTCCAAACTCAGCCCAGACCCGCCTGAACCTCTAAGGCAGGATGCAAACACCCGAAATCCCATGAGAACAAGACGTCTGTTCGGTCCTCTCCGAGGTCGTAGACAGATTGGCCCACCTGCAGAGGGGGGATTCTAGTAGGGATGCTAAAGGGATACTGAATGGGTGTCTTTGTCTTTGCAGGAAGGTATGCTGTGGCACACACAAAGGCTTACCATACTAAGGGATATGACTCGATCCTTAAGGGTAAGTAAGTAGAATTTGGGATTTCTGTAGGCAAGGACGTCAGAAACTGACTTGCCCGAGACCGATGGAGCACTCTAAGAGCCAAGCCTCATCTGCTTGCATCGCGCGGTGGGGTTTGAATGGCTAGGTGTCGCTTGGCATCATGACTTTGTGCCAAGGTCCCTTTTTGCCGACGGGCCAGAGCTCTAGGACTCCCCGTTTGGTGGAAGGAGAGCTGTGAGAGTGTGGAATCAGACAAATAGCTTTCTTCTGGTTCGTCTGTCTTGCAAAGTCAGGCTCTGTGTTCTGTAGTCTAGACTGGGCTTCTTCAAGATTCGAACGCCTGGCATAAACTGCAAATTGCGGCAACACCAGCACATGAAATCATGAACACACACATGAAAAGGAGCGATGTATCATCTTGTTGTACACATTCCGTATATTACGTACCTTTGTACATAAATACATAAATAAATATATAAATAAATATAAGTACAAATATAAATATAAACATAAATATAAATAAATATATATATATATATGTGTGTGTGTGTGCATGTCTGTATGTGTGTGTGTGTGTACGTGTACGTACGTATGCATGTATGCATGCATGCATGTATGTATGTATGTCTGTGTGTATGTGTGTATGTATGTATGTTTGTATGTATGCATACATGTGTATGGGTACGAGCATACACACATGTAGAGTCTCCTCCAGCATCATTGGTTGAATGATACATATACATATATGTACGTATATACGTATATCCATACATATATATATATA